TTACAACCACATGCAAAGGCAAGTCAATTATTCACCTGACAAAACACGGGAACATATTGTACAAGTGAAAATAGAAATTGCATCGGACATCGTTTTTGTCACTGATGTGTCAAAATTGGAAATGTCCTCCGCATGTATACCATAAAACGTTTTGGAAGCTTTGCTGATGTCTTGAATGTTGTAACCTTGATAAAAAAACTTATGAGTAGAAAGTAGAGAGTAGCAAGAGTACAAAGAGCATGCTCGATTGTATCTCAAAAGTTGTGAAATGTAAACACCAAAGGCTGGAGCTGCTGGAATATTGCTCGACATGAAGGGGAGTTGAAGTCATACCTCTTGTCATACAGTCTCGTGGAGAGTGTTTTGTCACTCAGAATTTTATGCATAGATCTAAATATGAAACAGATGAGGCTATCTCTCTGGTCACCTTTATTTCTAGTTCAGGTGGGTAAGTCAGTGTAAGGGAATTTGCTATTTGAATATTATTATTCGATATCACACCCTCGATACCAGGGGGCACGGGTGGCCCAGTCTTCTAAGGCGCCGCGATTCACTGTGCAGACTTGCGTCCCTTGGGCACGCCAGACACCTATGATTGTGAGTTCGAATCCCGGTTCGCCCCGATTATGTTTCTAGGTTGGTCAGCACCATACCCGTGCTCGTGGGTTTCACCAAAGTGGTAAACGTCTGAGACCTGCATCACTTCGGGGTTTCCTTCCACAGTAAGCTGACACGCCGTGATATAACTGGAATAATGTTAAAAGCAGCGTTAAACCCAACTCACTCACTCTCTCCAAAAGGATTTACTTTGGAAAACATTTTGTTCGGTAAGTGTCAGTTATTCATTGTTTTACACAATTTCCTTAGTCAAACATATTTCAATATATATATACCGTCTATATCCTCAAAACACAAACATCATAGCGTTTTGGCGTTTATTGAAACGTTTAGGAAAACAGACTGCTGGTTCAGTTATCCGATAATGGGACCGTGGCTTTGTGAACGGCATGCCGCTATGTTGGCGTTGGGGATGACGATGAACCCAAAGGAGTTTCCAGGTGCTGTCATCGTCCCAGTTCCCAAAGCTTTTGGCGTCATGTGTGGTATTTGGTTGTTGACAAGTTGCAGTGTTTTGCCATTGAGCTGTACTTTTCTGATAACAAATACATAAAAAATGTCTATTGGTCTCCATGTTATACATTGATTAATTATTCCTCCTTTCAATCGTTGTCTCATCTGTCTATTTTAAATGTGTACGTCTTCAGTCACTTCGTCTGATCCTGCAGTTAGTTCTGTTGGCCATAGTGTGCGTTCTCCCTGATCATGGACAATTGCTCATGTCTGGCACAGATTGACTGCAGCAAATCAACACACACTCACCCATTTCTGTTATAGCTGCTGTTTCACAGTCAAATGTGTCTCAGAACTATCCTCAGCGTTCACAAGGAACCATTGATTTATGAAGTTAATGCAACATATTGTGAAACTTGAACCAAGGACAAAACCCTTTGGTTGAAAGAAAACATATTATATACAAACTGTGACTTCAAATCTCCTCCCTCTGGAGTCAGCCAGAATGTGTCCACACCTTTGGTGTTCAGATCCGATATGCTTAGGATTACGGGGTCACTATTTAGGTTAAGAGCATACACTGTGATACTGCCAGGCATGTAGTTATACACGCTGAAACATGAATCGATGATGTCACAACAAATGTCGGAATCAGAATATAAATTATGATTGTTAGCATTACGTTCGTGAACTCTAGCCATTTGTTTTGCCAGTAGCCATTTTGTGTAAATCCCACGAATTTACGGGTCTGTAAGGACATCGTTACGTCATAATGTTTGATGTGACGCCATGTGTTTGTAACGTCACGCATAGTTTCATTACCGAGATTCAACTGGGATTATCACATGGACACATTACATCGAAGTATGGCTTTGTAGCTCGTGAACTCGAGTGAAATATATTCATGACATATGCCAATAGCGACAGGGTACATAACATTCAGCTCGTAAATTCATTACTTAGGTCTGGGCTGTTTTTTCAATGTTTGTGAGGATATTGACTTTGATAAAATGTTATTGTTATGTTTTCTTATTGTGTTAAACATATATTTATTGCATGTTGCACACTCACATGATTAGATGATATGACATGATGCCTGGCCCTCAACGATAAATTGAATATTTTGGAATATTTGTTAAAACTTCTATTTTGGGTATCATTGTTTCTTTCTTTCTGTATTTGATATAATGTTGATTGCTAGTGATTTGTAAGGTGATGTCATGGTAGGCCAAGACATATTTCGTACATTGTTTGCCACTTGTTAATGTTTGAGTGTAATTAAGGTAAAACGTTGCTAGCAGACTCTTTAAACAGGTTGAGAAAAAAATGGACAACTAACCAAGTATGTTCACAGTGAACGTACATGTTTCTATTCCCCAAACACATGTGGTTTAGTTTCTAATTCAATATTTGCTATAAGGTTGATTGTTAGAGATTTCTGATGTGACGTCTTTAAACAGATTATGAATAGCGTGTGACTAAACAACTCACTTGTTGAGCTTCGTACAGTGGGCATACAGTCGGAGATTGTTAGATGAAGACGGAACATCAAACACTTTGTTACCAACAAGTCTCTTGTAAAGAAGCGTCAACCAGTAGTCCTGCCCAAAGAGAGCTTCCATACAGAAAGACAATATTGGCATTCATGTGTGTTGTTTTGTGCCATTGTCAGCAACATTAAAAATGAAAAACATATCTGGGTATGCAAACCAATGGTTGATGTTGTGATAGTCGAAATAAGATGATGCATAATTAGACAAGTCAAAGAGCCTGGTCACCCAATACCCAATGCAGCCGGGCTTTACAAGCAGGAGGTTCTGTGACATATGATGATGTGGAATTCCGACAAAGGAGCATCGACGCAATGACATTGTTGAACGACAGTGTGACATTATGACATGTTTACGATACATGCGTGTACGCACAGGATTGGGGTCGTTGTTTCTGTCAAGAAGTGAATGGTACCCTCCGAAGAGTGACTGGCGCAGGACCCCTTTTAGGCCATATTTTGCTGATGCACCTAGTTTATCAAGCCACCTGGAATTAGGATATAGCAATCAACACTATCAAATTTCATGTACGTACAATGATCTTTCGTAATGCGCCGTTTATGTAACAGGGAAAACAAAGCGAAATTTAATTGTTCACACATGTACTGCAGACATTATCAACGGTATATCATATCAATGTATACTTGAACTTCTACACGTCAGAACGAGACGATTTACAATAGCTTCACAGCATATCGAGTTCCAACCGACAATTAAGATCACAACCATCTGACAAGCGTGTATGGGCAATCTGCATCTACATCAACGTATGCTTCACCCACTCGAGGGGCGGTCGGGTAGCCTAGTGGTTAAAGCGTTCACTCGTCGCCCGGAAGACCTAGGTTTGATTCCCGACATGGGTACAGTGTGTGAAGCCCATTTCTACTGTCCCCGCCGTGATATTGCTGGAATATTGTTTAAAGCGACGTAAAACCATACTCACTCGCTCACTAACTGCTCCGGCCTGTATTCAATCTTTGATTGCTGGCTTTTCCTAAAAAGATCCTAATTTGAGACAGAAACCGTTTAAAAACCTTTGAAACCAAATTCATTTGGATAGCTAAAACGTAGAAATACTCACAGATTGCCTGCCACATATCTATCACCTATGCCAGGAGTGCCTCCCCCATAGCCGGACGAGGTCTCCCCTAGCCACGCAACCAGACCATGATGGCTTCGGACCGTACTCATCACTGTCTGTAGTTCAGATATAAGATGATCCATTGTAGAATACTTAGAAAAGTCTTCCAGCTTGGCGGTTTGTCCATTAAAGTAGTAACTGAAAATAGGAAGGTGATGTTTTCACCGAAATGCTAAGCGTGTTACTGTATACACAACAATGAGCTATGATACTATTGTTTGTTTGTTTGTTTGTTGTTTAACGCCGCACTCAGCAATATTCCAGCTATATGACGGCGGTCTGTAAATAATCGAGTCTGGACCAGACAATCCAGTGATTGATAACATGAGCGTCGATCCTCACATTGGGATCGTTGACATGCATCAACCAAGTCAGCGAACCTGACTACCCGATCCCGTTAGTCGCCTTTTACGACAAGCATAGTCGCCTTTTACGGCAAGCATGGGTTGCTGAAGACCTATTCTACCCCGGATCTTCACGGGTCTATGATACTATTGGTGTCTTTGGTCCTCTCTATATGTTTCATTCAAAATTCCTGTTCTTGTTGATATAGAAGTCCTACACAGTGGTTAGTGATCTGTGTAATCTATTAAATCGATCCATCTGGAAATGTAGGTTACTATCAGTTGTTAGCATTTACTGTCCCATTGATACTTCTACCTATCATTTCAGCATATATGTGTTGTCATCTTCAATTTGTTGTTTGTGCTCCATGGCCTTTAATTGTTGTGCGTGACATGAAAACTTCATCGTGGTCCTTCACCCGGAAGAAAGTATACTCACTGATGGATGGTCAAGACGTCTATGACACTGGCTCCCCCATGGGACAGGAAGCTGGAAATACATTGGGCAGATAGTAACTATTATGTATGAAACTTGTTTGAACAGTCGTTCACGGTGTGACAGCTTGATGTGAGAGTAAAAGCACGAAATGATGCAGGTCGCAGATGTGAAACCCACAAGCACGGACAAGGTGCTCATAAACGTAAGGGGCAGATGTCTGCACTGTGGTTTGTAGCCGCTAAGGCGACTGGATCACCGGTGCTCCCTTGTATGCTATTGAATCAAGGCCTTGCTTAAATTCTTAGCTGTAGCGTGCGAATAACAGCAGGCGTTTGGCATAGCTACGGCTCAATCTAAAAACAAGCTAACTCTCGGTTGGTGACCACAATGAAGCTTATTCCCTTGCATTGGTGATGCAGTGTTTATTTTGTTCGTACTTTTTAATAAACGTGTCTTTATAACCAGCTATGTCAGGTCCAAGGATGAGACTGGACTTATAGGCCGTTCCTTGGAGAACTTGCTTCAACTCCTTGTAAGTCGCTTCCCAGCTGAACATCACTGACAGTAGTATTCCAATTTCGGTATAACAAGTTCGGTTCTCCATGAAAAATACGTACGATGATAATAAATAAATTATGATACATTTATCGTGAAGTGAACAAATATACGGAGCATATTAATATCGTTTGAATGTATTAACAGTGATGACACTATCCTGTTGCATTTAATGTCAATGTAAAAATACGCAGACAATCCTGTATTAATATATCGGGTTTCAGAAAATAATTGGACCAGACAAACACAGAATTATGTGCAACTTCCCATGGCCAGGCCGTGGGGTACGATGGCAAGCAATGAACCAGTCTGACCACCGATCTATTTAGTCACATTATACAAGTACAGGTTGTTGGGCGCCTCTATAACTCGGGGTGCCTACAGGGATATTATTTATGTGTAGTTGATGCGACATACACATGGCTTCAAAACCTACCATTTCCCAGTTCAATCCCTGCAAAAGTGTATCCTTTGTCAGAGGAATATTTAAGCAACTGCTTAGCGTTTGATGGGTTCCACTTTGTTCCATCGCGGAGCATCAGATTGAGACCAAGCACTAATTTCAGTCCGGTCTTGTGAACAAACTTGTTGAACTCATCCCAGGTGTTTGCTGAAAATAGATGTTTGAAAATCGGATTTGCCTACATTCTAATAACATATTGTTTCAGTTGTATATGTTTTTAGAATGAGTCAAACCACGCTTGTGGATATCTGTATCTTAAATTGTGACGGATGGAATGAAATTAGTAAATAAAGAAATTCAGTAGTCACAGGGTCATTAGATACAATGACAACCAATATCACCCAGTACTGTTCGTCGTGCAGCAAAGTCCGGATTAACGAATTTGGGGAACAAAGTAATGTTCCTTTCTTCACATGTGAACGTCTTAATTCTTTTAATTTCTAATTAGTAGAGAGAAAACGAAAGCAATGTAAGTGTCATAAAATTACATTTCATTTCAAACCAGTAATTCCAAATGAGAAGACTTTTGTTGGATATGGATTAGTTTCTATTGAGTAGCCCGGAATAGCCATTATGGCATATGTAGTACCATTTGGAGGTAGACTGGAAATCTTTTCTTTTTTTTCTTGGACGATGTAACAATTTAAAACAGCTATCACCTTGGAGTTGAAACTGTTGGCCAGTAGCTATGTTGTGAGTCGGGTTAAACACCATGAAGTCCCCTGATGTGCCTCCGACTCTCAGATACCCAGGTGCTAAAGCTATTCCAAGAGTCACAAGTTTGGGAGAGCTGTTAAAACAGACAAGCTTTCGAAGGTTTTGATAGTATATACTAAAAGTCAGTTTGAAGTGCCTGAGTCAGTTCGATTCTACATCCTGACTGTGTTAATTTTTCCATCACAAGGGATAAATAATTCCAGGTCAAAACTATAAAGGAGCTTTTAATACTATAAGTACTCATTCAGTTATTGTCTTTTTAAAATAAATTGAATTGTATCATCTATTTTGTTAATATGTTTTGTGTATAATACCTTTTTTAACATTGTTAGTGGCAGTATCCTCGAAGGGGGTTAAAGTACTGTAAAATTATTGTCCCCCTGAGAGGGTATCGTAAGCCCCTGTCATTCAAAGAATATTTACATTTACTACGCTTTGAAACGTAGAAAATCTGTCATTTTAATTTTGACTAAAATTATGGACAATCGCCAGCGACGGAAGGGATGAGATTTCTGTGATAAGTCTAGTTATTTTACTGTCCCTCGTTGGCAGGTTTTTACGTAAGTCCCTATGTATTTATATGTTTAACCCTTAATAGTCACGATATGGCTGAAATATTGCCGATGTGACTTTAAATTCTAATTCACTCACTCACTCACTCACTCACTCGATTCTACATCGCTTTTAGCAATATCTTGCAACATCAGGGCGGGGAATCCATAAATAGGCGTCACACATTATACTCATGTTTGTAATCAAACCTTGGCCTTCGACGTGAATTTTTCACTTAAAACACTTACCAACCGCTCCGATCAAAATGGAAGCTGAAGAAATATTAAATTTGATGACACCAGGTGTCTTCAGCAACCCATTGTTGCCAAACAGAGGCGACTATGCTTGTCAGTTCAACTTTTTCCAGTGATGTCATAAAATTAACTTCCAGTTATATCACGGCGCAAAAGTCTTATGTCATGCATGTCTTAGACTCCTACCACTTTGATGAAAGCAACGAGCACGGGTACACTGTTAGCACACATAGGAACAGTATCAGGACGACTATGGGAATCGAACCCACAACCATATGTTTCAGACACACGCAGGTGACACAACTCTGCACGGCGAATTTGGCGCCTTTGACAATTTGTCCATAAAAGTCCATAGTGAGTAAGTGAGTGAATGTATACTCTCCACACCTTTCTCATTAATATTCCTGATAGATCTTCATAATCCACAAACAATCGAGTCTTCAGGAAGGTCAATGTGGAAATTGAAAATAATTTGCAGTATAATCATTCAGTTGTCAAGGATAAAGCTAGACAAAAAAGTAAATCTGTGAGACGGTTATATGTACCTGACGTTGTGATACTTCAGATTGTACTTCAGTTGACCGCTGTCGATGGTGACGCCAACAAACATATCATCAATTACCTGTAACACATGGTCAGTTTTTACCCTGATATGTTCTGTGTGCAGGGACGCAGTGAACGGCTGTATCCACGCCATTCCAAATAAACACAAGACGATCCTATCCTTGAACATGCTGACTGGTACTTAATGAAGAAGTTTATTATCTCTTATATTGGCTGAGGTGCTGGAAAACTGCAGGTGCTACCAAGCCTTGAGGACAGATAAGGAACCCAGACACGCGTATTTCATAATCTGAATGAATTCCAATGAATATCTATATTATGCTCACACTGTAGGCACTCATGAAGGGCAGCCTACATAAAGTGAGTGCTTGGTAACGCTTATCGCCCTTCCCCTCGTGTGGACCCATGAGAGAATGTGTCCTCAGCACGCCTTTGCTTGTCATAAGAGGCGACTATATTGGGCAACCTATTTGTCACGAAAAATATATAAATTTCAACGGGGCTATTTTAGTATGTTTCCATGATGAGGTCAATACATCATTAAATGAATAATGAGTTTGTAAATAATTTTCCTCACCTCTGAACATGCAAGAACTTCAGAGAAAAGGTGGTACTAATTTTCTATGTATATATATACTATTTATTCAGACGTAAACGTGAGAACAAAGTCGATTATTTCTAATCGAACAACTTCTGCCTCAATGGAATTGTTTGCATTAATAAATTACAGACTGTTTGAAACATGCGCGAGTACACATATATAGATAATTTCTAAATTGAAACTAAAAGGTTAAGCCCAAAATAGGGTCGGACAAAGCTAACTTGTGAGATCAGCAAAAGGCCACACAAGATCAATGAATAAAAAACAAATTTTATTGTTTTAAGTTTTGAGTTTAGAATCACAAAAGGTAATACAATTGATGATGTAAGTGGCAAGAGCAACAATAAACAGGCACTATAACAAATGTTGGTGCACAAGAATGTCCAGAATCTGTCACTGTTCATTGTCTTGAAATAGGCATGTGCTCCGTTCTTGAAACCGGAAATGTGTTGAAGCTGGCAGGAATCTGGTGAGTTTAGATCCCGTTTGCAGTTTGCAAGTAGGTAAGACATAAATCAAGTTGTAAAGGGACTAGAATAGCCCTCGTGTTGCCAGCCAGACTTTCACAAGCTGTCACGGCACGAACCCTCCCCACCCCAAATGCTGACCTGTCAAACTATTGACTTTCACTTTACCTAAGTTTTACAAATGTGAAACAAAATTGAAAATTTTACATTAATTTGTACATTTATATACTTATCCTAATTCGAACAATGCATTTCTTCCTTCTTTCGATCCTTGTGTGGACACATCCTAAAAGTTTTCCAGTTTGTTAAACCATTTCACCCACACACACCTCGCATCATCATTGTCACTACCCAAACAAATGCGTTACAATCCTGTGCATCATGACGTAAGCAGTTTAATCACCTGACACCCTGTGCCATAGCATTCTCTTTCTTGGATTTGACAGGCTATTGTAACTGATGCCGGTCTGGAAATTACAAATTACAAATACAAATTAATGTAAAATGTTCAAATTTTAAAACTTATCCTATCTCACATTGTGCAATTTATCTCAGTGTTGGTCTGTGGGTCGCATAAATACATGTGTTATGTTTCTTTACATAGAACATCATTTCCAGAACGACTGCAAAGGTTTGAAGTAAGGAACCTATTCAACCACGACCAATTCGGAAGGGGTCTCCAGTCAATTTTTTCTACAAGATTAACAACCACATAGGCTCTAAGACATAAGGCTGATCAGCTTGGCATCTCATTGAAGATATGAATCCCACTGTGGGATTGAAGTATGCGAAGGGATAAAAAAAATCCAAAAGAGGGTCTTTAAACCATTACTGAGACATCACATGCACAAGACAGAGGTGTGCAGGTAAGTGTTTCGGACACGAACGAAACCGCTGCAACTTGCGACAACTTCATAAATAGACACTCGATCTGGAAATCTGGACATACAAACCATAATAAACAAGGGTGTGGCAACTTCATAGATAAAGACTAATGTGTTTCCAGACGCTGGATCTGGGAACCCGAACTTACAAACCATAATAAACAAGGGTGTGGCAACTTCATTTATAAAGACCAACGTCTTTACACACACTCGATCTGGGAACCCGAACTTACAAACCATAATAAACAAAGGTGTGGGTCTCCATCATTTCGTTACGAAGTACGAGTCTGTTGTAGCAGGAACGTGTATCAGTTATCTGCGTTGGTGAGCCTGCGTTAGTTGCTGTGCCAGGACCAGCAGATCAAACTGATGGAGGCCAAGTACATCAGTAACAGGGAGATATGAGGTAAGTATTCGACTTCTAAAAACATCGCCACATGATGGCGTTGAGGGTGCAGTTACCGTGCAGTGCAATTGTGGATGTGATAGCTCTCGTCTCGTGTGGGTAAGACGTCTGAGGCGGAAATAGGAAATAAATTGTTTATCATGAAATATGATAATGTTATTAATGCCAATTTATATTTTGCCTAGACTCCTATGACAGAATGCGATGGCTCATGGGCCAATCTGGTGATACAGGCCGCTGAATTCTGTGTTTTTATAGAAAAATGCCATGGGCGGAACCTGCCTGACATTTGTCCTTTTATTAACAATAGCTTTTCAAGTCTTTATTTCTGGAGTATAACACCCCTGTAACCCTGGTGTGCAAGACTGGTTTCCACTGTGGAACTGTCCTTGTTGACACTCGATGACGGGTTGGGAGCAGGGGTGCTGAAATATTTTCTTACAACATGGCTTTCAATCCTCATTCTGGTTCATCTAAAACAAACAAACGCAGGCATATGAAGATGTCCCTTCACAGGTAACTGACTCATGGCCAAGGTTCATTGTCATCTCATCCGCTGATGGCCATCCCCTAAAACTGAACCCTTTTGCAATCTCAAAGGGAATACAAAGTATTTGTGGGGAAGTAAAGAACGTCACACGTTTACGATCTGCCTCAATCCTTGTGGAATATGATCGGAGGCAGCAATCTGTTAATCTGCTGGGTCTCCTGCAGTTTGTTAACACAAAGGTTATAGTTTCTGAACACTGAATATACATCACTGAATTCAAGCAGAGGCATTGTGAGAGATCGTGCTCGCTGTCCTCCAGACTTGACAGAGGAAGACATTGCACCAAGGTGTCACTACAGTCAAACGTTTTACTAGAAAAACCGAAGATAAAAATATTGTAAATACTAACACCTACCTTTTAACGTTTTCACTTTCAACTCTCCCCAAATCAATCAAAGCTGGTTACTTTTCCATCAGCGTGCAGGTTTATGTTCCAAATCCACTCCGGTGTTACAAGTGTCAGAAATTCGGTCACGGGGATAAATTTTGCACTGCCAAGACAGGATGCTTCCGTTGCAGCGGAACTCATGCAAGTTCTGATTGCACAAATGACATCTAATGTGCCAACTGTGATGGAAAGGACTTGTCTTCATCCAAATCCCGTCTGGTTTTTGAACTAAACTAAACTAAAATACTAAAACTTAAATGTACAAACAATATTTGTAATGAATAAACAGAATTAAAAAAAGTTACTTTTTCCACCCCTGACTCCGAACAATAAAACCTATTCAGCTGCTGTGTCTTCCACAAAACCAGCTCCCACAATGTCAACGTCATCCACTCAAACAGACATCTCTTGGGTACAGGCTGACCTCATAAACCTTGGTGACAAATTGACAACTGCTTCCCAAACAGAGAGTCTAACCCCATCTAAGCCATCAGAACCAGACAAGATACATCAAATTGAAAATGTTCAGGGTAAAGCCAATTTGTCCAAAAAACAAACAAAAAAGCAAATGAGAAGGGCCAGGGCATTTCAGCACTTGGAGGTGCCTTCTCCTACAAATACCCCTGTAGAGGTTCATAACCCTTTTGAACCTTTGGCCATGGGTATTGTTCCCTCAGTCCCAGTCCATGGGAAAGGGTCTTCATCTCGCTCACGATCTCCAGTTGAGCCACAATGAACAGCTCCTTCCGTATTGGTGAGGCAGGGTATTATAGATATCCCTGTTCCTCTAAATACACCCCTTCAAGCTGTTGATGTTGGTTAACTCTTAACATTGTAGGCACTCGTGAAGAGCAACCTCCTCGTGGTGAGTGCTGGGTAATGCTAATCGCTCTTCCCCCGTGTGGAACCGGGGCAGAATATTTCCACAGCCTCCCATTGCTGGTCGTATGAGGCGACTAAAATGGGCAACCTGTTTGCCGTGGGTTGCGTCCCTGTGTCGTCGGAGGACGGGAGTCTGGTAGTTGAGGGCACTGGTTCCTGGAACTGTGTTCCTTTGCCCAACACACTACTTCGACCCTTACTTCGCCTAGACGGGTGGTAAGATGGGCCCGGTCTTATCAATCGGCTGGTCATGCCAGGCCCTGTGCGTAATATTGTGTATGCACACCTGTGTTGTATTATAATGTGTATTTTGGTCTTGGCCATGCATACTTTGTATGAATTAACACTTTTGGATGAAATAAATTGCCTAGAGTCTTACGCCAGAAGGCGGTGGCTCATGGGCCAATCTGGTAATGTTGACCGCTGAATTCTGTATGTCTCTAAATTATTGTTATTCGCAGAACCAGCTTGGCAATAAATTTAGTAGACAAATATAGCTATTTATGTCATATTTGCTGGAGTATAACACCCCTGTAGCCCTGGTGTTTGCATTTTGGATATCCAATGCAATAAGACACTGTCCTTGTTGACACTCGGTGGTGGGTGGGGAGCAGGGGTGCAGAACCACTTCCTTTCATTATGTCAAAAAAACACTCTGGTTCGAAAAGAAAACATCTAGATGCTAGCTCATCTGATGACGAAACTGATCTGCAATTAGATTCCTGGGCTCGGTTCATTGTAATCGAGGCTTCTGATCATCAGCCTTTGAAATTGAACCCATTTGCTATTTCTAAGGCCATCAATGGTTGTTGTGGTACGGTTGACAATGTTACCCGCCTCCGTAATGGCTCCATTCTTGTGGAATGTGCCAGGAAACAGCAATCTCTAAACCTTTTGTCCATCAGCCAGTTTGCAAATGTAGAGGTTGCTGTTTCAGCACATAGAACATTGAACTCGTGTCGAGGCATCG